CAAGTTATTCAACCTACAAGAAAAGCCAACACATTAGATCTGATATTTACCATAGGCATTCCGTCAGTGCTTGTCACTATTGACGGCCCACTAATGGGTTGCGACCACAATACTGTGCTGTGCAGCATGAATATTAAAATAGCAAACAAACCACGAGTGATTGAAAAGCCTACTCGTTGCATCCATCTCATTGGCGGAATCATATTTGACGATCTCCGCAGTCCCCTGATTTGGGACAAATTCTTCTTAACACAGGATCCAACCTTAGCCACGTACGAATTGATACACATTTTAGCAGCTGCACCGACCTAGTAGTGGTAGTAGTAGTAGTAGTAGTAGTAGTAGTAGTAGTAGTAGTAGTAGTAGTAGTAGTAGTAGTAGTAGTAGTAGTAGTAGTAGTAGTAGTAGTAGTAGTAGTAGTAGTAGTAGTAGTAGTAGTAGTAGTAGTAGTAGTAGTAGTAGTAGTAGTAGTAGTAGTAGTAGTAGTAGTAGTAGTAGTAGTAGTAGTAGTAGTAGTAGTAGTAGTAGTAGTAGTAGTAGTAGTAGTAGTAGTAGTAGTAGTAGTAGTAGTAGTAGTAGTAGTAGTAGTAGTAGTAGTAGTAGTAGTAGTAGTAGTAGTAGTAGTAGTAGTAGTAGTAGTAGTAGTAGTAGTAGTAGTAGTAGTAGTAGTAGTAGTAGTAGTAGTAGTAGTAGTAGTAGTAGTAGTAGTAGTAGTAGTAGTAGTAGTAGTAGTAGTAGTAGTAGTAGTAGTAGTAGTAGTAGTAGTAGTAGTAGTAGTAGTAGTAGTAGTAGTAGTAGTAGTAGTAGTAGTAGTAGTAGTAGTAGTAGTAGTAGTAGTAGTAGTAGTAGTAGTAGTAGTAGTAGTAGTAGTAGTAGTAGTAGTAGTAGTAGTAGTAGTAGTAGTAGTAGTAGTAGTAGTAGTAGTAGTAGTAGTAGTAGTAGTAGTAGTAGTAGTAGTAGTAGTAGTAGTAGTAGTAGTAGTAGTAGTAGTAGTAGTAGTAGTAGTAGTAGTAGTAGTAGTAGTAGTAGTAGTATAGTAGTAGTAGTAGTAGTAGTAGTAGTAGTAGTAGTAGTAGTAGTAGTAGTAGTAGTAGTAGTAGTAGTAGTAGTAGTAGTAGTAGTAGTAGTAGTAGTAGTAGTAGTAGTAGTAGTAGTAGTAGTAGTAGTAGTAGTAGTAGTAGTAGTAGTAGTAGTAGTACCCGGAATATGCCGGCGAGCGTCGACAAGTTCTAGAGGCTGCGAAGTGACCACATTTCCATGGTGGTTTGTGGATTCTCCACATGACCATTTGCCTCCTGCCTGTAAGGTTTGGTGTACATGCGACTAGTGACCATTCATTGTATTCACTGAGGGCTTACTCTACCAGAAAGTCAGCGTACTTCGTATTAGGAGAACAGCTATTAGACATTCATTTATTGTGAACGAACTTGATAACTATTCTTTACTCTTTCTATTTTCTATTTCTTGTCTGTTGTTTAAACGCTCTACTGGGTTCGCCCGATTGGTACATTCACGTCATCGTTAATGGACGCTCATCGTCATGCCCTTCTCAGCAGAGCTATTTGCAAGAACATATCCTATTGCTTTTTTCTTCTTATCACTGTTCCACTTGGTTATGTTAAAGGAATATTTAGTGTCACACAATTATTGTTCTAGTTTTCAACTTTTGGGTCTGCATTCCTTATTCTCGTTTGTTTCGTGAACTTTGTTTAAACGTTTCATTTCGTCATTCTGATTGGCCAGTGTCCGTCACTGTAAATGGACGTTCGCTTTACGCTTGGAGTCCAACGATGCTATTTTTAAGGACATATGCGATTCACTCTTGAGTACACGGTTGTTTATTCGCCGTTGCATTTGACGTTTTTCTTTCTGTTGGTTGGCTCAAGTGTACTTTAGTAGCTCCCCTTCAGTTTGCCTTCAAAACTATATAAGCAACTGTGATTTCATGTATACAAGTCTGCTTCTGGCTCGTCTTTGGACTTCTTCTTGCGGTCGTGGGGTGAAGGCGTCAGCGGCGACACAACACTTCGGTAAGCACTCAGAACACCTGGCTTCGCCAGTTGGCAGGTGTTAATATGCTCACAGGGTCGTCGTGGGCGTCCACCAAAACGCACCCGCAGATCAGCACATACAAATGTATGGTCAGTGTCCACACATGTGCTCCAAATCAAGCGACAGTTCTGGACGCAGACTCTCCAGCGATAACTGATCGCGATGTTATCGATTTGCGTTCAAGACTGGTGGGCACCACGTCACTCTACGGCGAATGCTGTGTCGTAAGTTTGTGCTCGCAAGAAATAAGCGGGCATCTTCACACAAATGGAGCAACCGCTCATTGTTATCATTACAGCAGCCTACACCGTGTTGGCCGCCCAGATGCAGATCCTCTGTGGACAATTTTTCAACCTAAGCTTTCATATCCCCAGGTAGCACTACAGTGTATGTGCTTCTTCTGTGATGAATAAGCTCATTCAATTGTCGGTAAAAGTCGTCTTTTATCGAATCATCGCTACAGTTTGTCGGTGCATAGGCAGCGATAACGAATAGACACCTGTTGGTCCCACGCGACTTCGAAGTTTTGAACGAGCCAGCCAGTCGGACGGCACACATCCGGCTACTGATTCGGATCCAATCAACCAGATCAGCTTCAGCCCGGGAACTCAGGGCGATACCAATACCGGCTTGACCGGTACTCAAAGCCTAATCATCTCCAGATAGGCGCAACAAGAAACTACTGCTGGTGTCACCCGAAGGGGATCGCAGAGTGAGCATAGAGCTCGAATCTTGCAGGCGGGTTTCCAATAGAAGCAGATATCGATCCAGAAGTCCAGTGATGTCTGTTGACCAATATGTAGCAATGTGCGTACACAGGGACATGCCAATTGGAGGGAGGATGGAGGGCCTCTTGCTTGGACGTGGGCTTGTCGACAGGGCAGCAGTGACGCTTCGCGTTTGTATATGAGTTAAAACTAAAAGCTAAACGCCCAAAGAAAGATGGAGAGGGTCAAGAAGTGGGGGGTTTAAAACGAAAAAGTTGGCAGGGGACGATAAGAGTGTAACAGCGTAAGTGGGGGAGTAAGAAGACGAGAGGGTCTGAGGAGTAGCATCCAATCCCCTATTCACCCTGCTTGATGCAGTCGATAGGGTGTCGTTTATTATCCTCTGCGACGGCCAGAGCATAAAGAAATTTTTTAAGGAAAAGTTCATAGTATTGCGTTGGCTGGATACTGTCTAGGCAGGAGAACGATTAGGGTTCTCAACCAAAACCTTTGGTTCAAAAACCTGACCGCATAGCAGCGGGTTTAGCAGTGGGGCTACAAGGAGTAAGTTTTAAGGAATAAGGGGCCATCCTCAGTCCAAACCCAAACCTGGAGGACCAGAAGGCTGAGTTCGTCTGACCTCTATCCATTGACCAATCTGGTATAAGTGGCACTGAAGGTGCAAAAAGCATCACCCAACTTAGCTCAAGGGATCTCGGAGACACGTAAACTATCACGTCACGGTAAGGTCCAGCCTCCTTGCGATGGGACTACCTGGATGCTTCTTGCGAACATTACAGGGGCCATACTAATCCATAAATCCTTACATAAAAGCTCATAAATTCAATCTTTTTATTTTATTATGCTTATTCACCGATGCTTGTTTCAACAAGACCTTTTGTTAGCCACAGTGGTTGTTGGCGGTAGTTGATTCTGGGTAAGGAGCACCATTCCAGTCTGACACTGACGCTATCACGTTCTGTTTAGTGCGCATTTGATTAGTTGCTTATTCGTTCGATTTTCATTGGTCTTGTCTGCTTGCGCAATTTCAGCGCTCTGGTTTTCTTTTGCAGTTTTGCGTCGTGATTTACAGACAGTGTGGTTTTCCTATGAATAACCCACAGTTCTGGTTTTGCTGGTTCGTCTTCCCTGCCGTCACTGGGTGGAAGCATTCACGGGCCCGATGCAATACCAACACAAGCGGTATTGTAAATACGGTTGTCGTGAGGTAGAAGATAACCTTATTTAAAATGTCTTGCACGCAGTTAGTAAACGAGTGCGAGATGTAACCACGTTAATCGCAGAAGCTTCCAAGTCAATTAGTCTGTCACGCGTTTGAAAAAGTACTAGACGGTTGTTTCTTCTTAGCGGGACCCGCCAGTAGTGAGCATTCTTCGACTTCACTAGGAACGGAACCCATGGCTGCGCTATACCAACAGCTTATACTGCTGGCGGTAGATTGTAATGATTTAAAATCCAAATTGTTAGAGGAGCAATACAAATACTGGTATGCTTGTGTAGCCGTTCAGGACCTCGGATTTTCCTTTTTCTCCGCTGGTTCACTGATCGTTGTTTAGCGTAGCATTTATCTAATATAATGTTAATAATTTTTTGCTGCATAGTAGCCGGCTGGTATCTTTCGGGAACGATGCCATCCGTTGCTGGTAGCTCAGCTGACACGCAAAAGTTACATATATTTTTATGTTTTCTTATATGTATTGCGGCACGGTAGCTGAGGTGTCTTACACCTCTAGCTAACGTGTACAATAATGAATGATGTAGCATTTCGCTACCCCTATTGGCTATGCAGTGCCGTTATTTTTGCCTTCAGATCGCAAGCATACTCCGATGTAACAAGCTCACTTTCCGTCCTATGTCTGCAACTGATTTGCTCCTTATTTGCTTTATTTATTGACTTTAGTTGTCCGCTCGCCTACCGTACTCTGACTGGCTTTCAAGCTTGAGCGTCATGCTATATAACGAAGTGGTTTTTCCCTTGAATCCTTATACCTAGCCGTCCGCACTCTCCCTGTCGTTAGTGGGTGGAAAACAGTCGCGGAGCTCCGACACAACACAACTAAGATATAACGCAGATCACTATGCGCTGACATGCAAATTGTGAACTTCTCACAGTTACAAGTAATAGAACCATACCCTCGGTAATATGCGTGTGATAAGGCATACGCACCAGAAGGGAGAGGGAGTATGATAATTATTTTTATCTAGCGGAAAAAAGCTCACTTTTTGCTGTGCTCCCAATAATTCTCGCCAACGTTGAGTGCTTTGCTGTGCCACCCTCTCGATGATCTCAATACGCTTTCTGTACTCCGCATCGTGCAGCTCCGCAGACTGATGGGCGATTAGAACCTGTTGTAGTGCTGAGCGTTGCGTATTCTCAGATTTTTGTCGGAATTCAGTCAGCCTCCTTTCTGCTGTGTTTGCAGCTTCCAAGTAGTGTCTGACTTTCTCCTCCATGGCTGATCGCTGCGCCTCCATGTTACGCAAGCGCGTTTCCAATAACTTTTGCTTTTGAACAAAATGATATGGTGGATTGAAATTGATAATAAAAGCAAAGAAGCTAAGGCAGTTGCTAAATAGGCGAATGTGTAGGCTTTAACGCATAATGTGTTCATCAGAACAAATGTTAGCGAACAAGCTCGTTTTCAGTGGTTCCTCATCAGGCTAATACACCACAAATGAATGACATGAACGTAAACATCAGTTAAGAGTACAGGTTCAAAACCCAGATGGTCTGAGTGACCAAGCTAGGCGATTGGCCACACGGCGATCAACAGTTTGTTTGTGTGTGTGTGGCGTTGTCCACACTATGTGTCCGTGTTACAGGGGACCAGGGTAGAGTTAGTGCCTGGACAAATTTCTTGTGTGCACATAGGTCAGGGTCATGAAGCCTGATGGCTATCGCCTCGGCCGCTGCCAGTAGACGACATCTAACCGCTCTTGTGTGACATCTGGGTACGCGATAGATGGGCTGGAACGCTTCATGCGCTCTGACTTGATGGCTCGAGTCGATCAGGTGTGTAGACACTGCGCTTGCCACTGATCTAGTCACGCCGCTATACAGCCAAGCTGGACAGTGTTCCCTGGCTCTCTCGGACAGTCTCCTGGTAGTTCTTCCGATATATCTTGCTCGACACGAGCAAGAGAATGTGTATACACAGAAGGAAGTACTAGACATTGGAATTCTGTCCTTAAGTTGTGGATTCAGGGTCAGCACTGAGTAGAAGCTTAGCCGTAGGCTTGCTGTATAGTACGTTTGGGCGATTGCGGCAGAAAGCCTTCTAGACGTCGATTCAGCTATCCCGTCCCCTTTGAATGGTAACGATAAGTAGATCGGTTTCTTTCCTACTGAATCCGCTTTTGCCTTCGCTTCTCGTACCTCTATGTTTCGCCGAACGAACCTCTCAGGATAGCCATTTCTATCGAATAGGCTTCGTACAAAGTTTAGCTCGTCCGCAAGCATGTCCTCGCTACATATCCTTCTTGTTCGCTCGGTTAGTCACCGAACAAGTTTCCGTTTCTGGCTGAGCGGGACGAAGCTGGCAAAGTGAGTATATTGCCCATTCCACGTTGTCTTTCTGTGGACACTGCGCTGGACCGACCCGTCAGATCTTCGGCTAATCTGAACATCTAACTACGACATTGAGTTGTTGCACTCAGATTCAAGGGTGAATTTTATGTTTGCGTTGGCTGAGTTAAATTGTCTCACTAATTCATCCATGCACAAATGACTATCTGCGATGCAGAATATATCGTCCACATACCGTCCGTAGTAGACTAATTTGTCGATAACTCCGTTTAGATAGTTGTTCTCTAATTTACTCATGAATACGTCTGCTAGCAATGTGTTCATATAATCGCTGCACAGTGGTTCGTTCGCTAGCTGCACTTGTGCAAGTAGTGTCACCCTCCTCCATCTAAGACAACAGAAGTCACTCGCCCAGCCATCGTAATAACCGATGCGAACCGTCATCAACCCCTTAACATATTACGAACAGAGATAGGTGTAATGCCTAGTATCAAGTATGTCATTCACATCGTAGAAGCAAACTGATTTCGTAGAGTGCTCTGCTCGGTAGCTAACATTAGGAAGACTTAATAAAAGGGCTAAGGCAGCAGAACAGGCTAGCGAAAGCTGGTGCTATAATTGGCAGGGCTAGTAAATTAGATCGAGAGAACACATACACCCACTGAGCACATGAGTGTTGGTAGATAAGGAGAAAAAGGTCACACTCCGTCGTTGTCCCTGTCTGATGTGAACAGACAGGTGGCATAGCTCCGGCTGTAATAGCCTGATCACAAAGCTATCAGGCTCAATATGGGACAAGCACGGTTTAAGTAAAGGTCACAATCAGCCGAGACAAGTCACTTCACGCAATGTAATCGCTTCTCCAGGTAAGTCAACGACGTGTACTCACTCACACATGACTAGGTAATCAAAGTAAAATTGGTCCATGACCCACCCTTCTTATCCACCATTTTCGCAGTTCCTATTAGTGCGTGAGCAGATTACTATCACGGCACCTAGAATCTTACCAGATGACATGTGCTCGGGGGCTCCACGGGATGTAAACTATCGAATGGGTTGTGTCTTATCAAGGGCATCTGACAATTGAAACGGAGATTGGAAAATGTAAATGCATTTAAATAGCTTTTAAGATGTAACCACGAGTAGGAGAGTTTGGTATTGTTAGACTGGCTCGCGCTTCACAGTCGCTCACAGCTGGATACCTTGACATTCGTGTGTGTCCCGTCACGTGATTGTGTTGCACACACACGCGACAGCCGTTCAGAGCTATACCATTTTACACGCATATTAGCTTATTGTACCAAGCCTTTAGCGTGGTTCATTTTCGAAATAGCGTGCGGTACTTTCAAGTTAGCGAGGAGTCGGTGGCGAGTACCAGTCCTCCAGGTAACTATAGAAGGTGTGTCTGTCCGAGCCATAGTAGACACAGGATCGGCAGTGTCAATTACAAAGAAGTTCAACGGGGTTCCAGTAAACCCATCTTCAATCACGATGCAGACGGTCGGCGGGCATTCTTTGAAAGTGACGGGCACGCAGCGGTTACGAATCAGGATAGGAGAAACGCTCATCAGCCATGACATGTTCATCGTGGAGGAGACGACCGAAACCATCATCGGAACCGACATCCTGAAACGGCTCGGTGTCACAATTGACCTGAAAAACGATGTGGTGATCGTGGCTAACGAGACGATCGAGATAAACAAGGGGAGAACCGACCGGGTTGGTGCCCTCAAAGCCGTGCCTGATTGTCAGAACCGTGCAATACGCAACGTACTGAGCAGGTATGCCCACTTATTCACAGACGCGGAAGATGATTACGGATTTTGCAATTGGGTTGAACACCGAATACCGTTGATCCCAGGAGGACAATGCAAGCCAATCTTCAGACGAATTCCACAGAACACCCTGGTGGAGATACAGAAGCAGGTGACCGAGATGGAATCGAAAGGAATCATCAGGCGAACGCACAGCCCGTATTCATCACCCGTGCTATTGACGAAGAAGGCCGACGGCACCTATCGATTTTGCATCGATTTCAGAGAACTAAACAGGGTGACTGTGAAGGATGCATTCCCGATGCCTCAGATGGAAGAAATTTTTTCAAGCCTTCACAGTGCGAAGCAGATATCTCTGATTGATCTCCGCTCGGGATATTGGCAACTGCCAATCGCAGAAGAAGATCGCCACAAGACGGCTTTCAGTGTCAATGGCCAGCAGTATGAGTTTTTGAGAATGCCGTTTGGATTGTGCAACGCCCCGGCTACATTCAGGCGTTTGTTGCTGATGGTCCTCGAGAACCTGCAAGGCGTGGTTGTGTACGGTGATGACATCATCGTCTTCTCTGAGACGGAACAGGAACATGTGACCAGACTTGGAGCAGTACTGCAGAGGCTAGATGAAGCTGGTCTGAAACTCAGTCGTAAAAAGTCGCAGATTGCCCAAAAGTCAATTGTATGCTTGGGTCACATCGTGGGCAATGGTCAAGTCCATCCACTTCCGGAGAAACGCGAGACGATCAAGTGCTTCGCAAAACCAAAATCCAAGCGTCAGCTCCGTTCGTTCTTGGGAGTGGTGGCATATGATTCAAAGTTTGTGCCCCAGTTCGCAGAGAAGGTCAGCCCGTTGTTAAAGCTGCTTCGCAAGGACGTGCCCTTTGTGTGGACAGCTGAAGCGGATCAGGCCTTTGACCATCTAAAGGCAGGCATAGCAGAAGCCCCGACATGTCTACGGCTACCCAATCCTGGTGAGAGGTTCACTGTGGCTGTCGACGCAAGCAACGTGGCAATCGGTGCGGTTTTGTCTCAACCGGCTGGGGTGGTGGAGTACGCGAGCAGAGTGCTGACGGGGGCGGAACAGAAGTATTCAACAACGGAGAAAGAATGCTTGGCCATCGTGTGGGCGTTAGAGAAGTGGAGAAATTACTTACTGGCGAATGAATTCCGGGTCGTCACTGACCACAAACCGCTCTCGTGGTTGATGACGGCGAAAGACCCGCGGGGACGGCTGGCGCGATGGGCCTACCGATTGCAGGAATTCAACTTCACCATTGAGCACGTGGATGGAACGCAGAATGTATTGCCAGATATGTTGTCACGCCCGTGTTTGGACGACATCATGCCAGACAATGCCATACCGGTGCGTGCGTTCGCGATGGGGGAGAGGAACCTGCTGGGAGATCAAAGGACAGATGAATTCGTGAATATGTTGTGCTCTCACTTACGGGCTGGCACCAAACCGGAGGCCACATCGGAGGAGGTGGAGGAACTCCTCAAGATCTGGGACAGGTTGAAGGTCGAAACCGATAACGTGGTGGTGGCGATAGACGGACGGAAAGTGCCTTTTGTTCCACCAAATCAGCGAGAACGTGTGATGCGCATAACTCATGATGGCGCCCATATGGGATTCGAGCGGGTCTTTGAATTGCTGCGGAGGCGAGTGTTTTGGCCAACCATGAGGAAGGACGTCGCGGCATACCTTCGGGAGTGCCCAAACTGCCAAACGAGTCGGGAGATGGAGTCCCCGAGACCACCGATGCGATCGATGGAGGTTGGTGAGCCACTTCAGTGTTGGGGACTGGACGTCTTTGGGCCCTTACCAGTGAGTCGAACAGGAAACAGATACATTCTAGTGATGATTGACCACTTCACTCGATGGGTGGAAGCCATACCAATCAAGGACCAAACAGGCGAGACAGTGTCGCAAGTATTCGAATTCAATGTGCCTGCAAGGTATGGGATCCCACAGTGTATCATCACGGACCAAGGGCCCTGCTTCGAGTCAAGAGCGTTTAAGTCAGTGTTGGACAAGTGGGGCATCCAGAGACGGCGAACTTCACCGTACCACCCACAAACCAACGGGATGACCGAGCGGTTCAACCGGACATTGAAGACGTGGATAAACTGCACGAAGTTGGCATGGGAAGATGCTTTGCCTCAGGTTCTGATCGCGTATCGGACCAGCATGCAATCAACCACCAAGG